ATAACTTTTTTTTTTTTTTTGGTTTTTCAAGACAGGGTTTCTCTGTGTAGCTTTGCGCCTTTCCTGGAACTCGCTTTGGAGACCAGGCTGGCCTCGAACTCACAGAGATCCGCCTGCCTCTGCCTCCCGAGGGCTGGGATTAAAGGCGTGCGCCACCAATAAGCATACAAAGAATTCATTTTCATTATAGCATTCCCCCGAAGGATTAATGTTAATTCTATAAGCTAAACACACAGAGTCAAATGCTGTGTGATCTCATTCATGTGCAAGCTATAGATCCTGACCTTGAACAGAGAGTAGAATAGCGATTATGAGGGGGGAGACAGGGAAGAGGAGGGTGATGAGACTGTTCAACAGTTTATTCTTTTTTTTTTTTTTTTTTTTTTTTTTTTTGGTTTTTCGAGACAGGTTTTCTCTGTGTAGCTTTACGCCTTTCCTGGAACTCACTTGGTAGCCCAGGCCAGCCTCGAACTCACAGAGATCCACCTGGCTCTGCCTCCCGAGTGCTGGGATTAAAGGCGTGCACCACCACCACCTGGCAGTTTATTCTTTTATAAAGGATTAGAAGACAGGAGTTGGAATGTTTCGGGCTAATGGGGATGAAAGTGCTAAGGAACTTGATCTGGCATCTTGGTTTGCCTTCTTGTTCTGAAAGGCTTCGCTGTGCCCTGTGAATGGGAGCAATTATCACATGTCCACTGAGACAAAAGGGAAGTATTAACATAGTGACAAATCACAGCTGTATACGTTTACCTTGATCTAGGCAGGCATGGTGAAGGTGTGGAAGACAGCCTTGCATTTGAGTTCAACCCTGTACCTTTTGGATTTCTGCTTATTTATTGAATTGTTTTTTAATTGTTAATTACTCCCTGCTGGCCCTTCTTTCCCTCTAGTTCTGGGATGGGACTCAGGGCCTCATGTACACTTGATGAATGCTCTATTCCTGAGCCATGCCCTATTACTCCATCACTCGTGTGTGCTTTTACTAGCCTACAGTCAGCCTTTAAAAAAAAATCACATGTATTCAGTGTGTGCGTGTGTGCGCGTACGCACCCTCGAGCATGCGCAAAGCAGTCAGAGGACAGTCTGTGGGAGTTAGTTCTCTCCTTTCACCGTGTGGGGCCAGGACTGAACTCAGGCCATCCAGCTTGGCAGCAATCCTCTTTACCCATCAAACCACCTTGTCCTCCCCACCCCCACTTCTGCAAATTGTTTGTTTTGTGAACTCTATTCCAGCAACTCACCTTTGCCACTGCAGCTTGAAAGCACCTGCAGAACTACACAGTGAATGAACGCAACTGTGTGCCAATACCATGATTAAAAAATGCCAACAACACAGATATCAGGCCAGATTTGACTCACAGACTATCATGTCAACTCCCACACTACCTTGTTGTTTGTAGGTCTCAGAGAATTTGTTCCAGACACACCCTCCATCCTAGGTAGACTCCAAACCCCTTGTATTCAAAAGTCTTTTACATAAAATGGCATCATATTTGCACAGAACGCATTCCTGTCTTCTTTCATATTTAACTCATCTCTACATTACGTTTAACGCCTAGCACAGTGGGTAAAGGTGCTCCTCACCAAACTTGAAGTCCTGTGTTCAATCTCTGGGACTTACATGGTGGAGGAGAGAATGGACTCCCAAAAGTTGTCCTCTGACCACACACACGCAGTAATAAATATAAGAATAACTCCACCTAGCACAACTTCAATACTGTGCATAGTTGCTATGCTATATTGTTTAGGGAATAAGAGGAAAAGTCTGTTCATGCCCAGTATAGATGCAAATTGAACAACTTTTTATCAATTGATTGATCGATTTTTGGTGCTGAGAATTAAGTCCAAGCCTTTGCACATGCTAAACTCACACTACCACTGATTACAAAAAAAGATTTATTTTGTGGCTAGAGAGATGGCTCAACATTTAAGAGTGCTTGTTGCTCTCACAGAGAACCCAGAATCTGCTCCCAGCACCCACAGGGCAGCTCACAACTCCCCGTAGCTCTTGTTCCGGGGGATCCAAGGCCCCTTTCTGGACTCCGTGGTCACCGCACACACGGTGCACATATATACATGGAGTCACACACTCACACACATAAAATAGAAATTATTTTTATCTTTTTAATTACGTGTATTCACGTGTGGCTATGTACACTTGAGTTCAGTGACTGCAGAGACAGAAGAACGAGTTGGACCCTCTGGCTCTGAGCCACCCGACCTGGTCCTTTCAAAGAACAGCAAGCATTGTTAACCTCTGAACCGTCTCTCCAGCCTTACCGTTGAGTTTTAAAAAGTATTCCTTGGTGGTTTCATATATGAGCACGTGTATATTTAGATCATGTCTAACTCTCTTCTTTTTCCTCTTCAACTCTTCTTGACTCCTCCTGACTCCTCCTAACTTCAGGTTGCTGCCTCCTCCTCCTCCTTATCTTCCCTTCCTCTAAAGAATCCACTGAGTCCACTTAGTGCTGCCCCGATGCCCATGAGTATAGGCACCAACCACTGGAGCACGGGCAACCTATCATGGGCCACACCACTGAAGAAAACTGCCCTTTCTTCCTCCAGAACCCATCAAATGTCAAGAGCTCTTGAAGCTAGATGTGAGCTGATTGATTGACTTTCTGATATGGGGTCTTTATACCCAACTCAGGCTGGCCTTGAACTCCTGCTCCTGCTGGCTCAGCCTCCTAAATGCCGAGATGATGTGTAGATGAAGTGCAGCTCTAGGCTTGACTCAGTGAACACTTCACATCCAGTGTTGGTTTTATCTGAGGAGGTTGATTTGTGGATCTGCAGAGCCAGCTGCCTGGACTGTAGGAAAGAGACAAGTGTTCAGGCCCCTGACTGGTTTGGACTCCACTGAATGCTCTTGGGATTCATAGGTGATTTTGAGTTATCATTTGGTAACTAGGAACATGATGTCATGAGGAGAGGGAGAGACTGCTCATCTTCTGTGCAGTCCTGTGTCTGTGAGTGTTCAGAGCAAGGTGAGAAACAACACTGTGGCTTCAGAGGACCAGTTCATTTGGAGCAAAATCCTGAATGGGGCTTTGCAATGAGAAGCAGTTGCAGGATACAGGGCATGGAAAGCCTAGTCAGGCGACCTGTCTTTTGGAAGCAGGTGGAGAACTCAGACAGATACAGAGGGCAGCCATCTTAGTATACAGCCACGTGGGTAGTGGCATCAAAACAATGCTGCACTGGTGGTGCATGCCTGCAATCCCAGCTCCTTGGGAAGCTGAGGGGATCAGTACTGAGGACTGAACTTGGGGCCTTGAACACGGCAGGCAAATACTCTACCACTGAGCTATATAGTCTGGCCCTCTTTAAAAGAGAATTTTATTTTCAGTTTTGATTGTGTGTGTGTGTGTGTGTGTGTGTGTGTGTGTGTGTGTGTGTGTGTGTGTATGTATGTGTGTGTGTGTTGTGTGTGTGTGTGTTTGTACATGTGATTGCAGGTGCCATAGAGGCCAGAAGGGGGCATAGCAGTTCTGAGCTGCCTGATGTGGGTGCTGGGAATGGAACCCTGGTCCTCTACAGAAGCACTATGCACCCTCAATCACTGAGCCATCTCCCACCCCTTGCCCAGTAGCTCTTTCTTTAACTTTTTATTTTGAGACAAGGTCCTACTAAGTTCTAGGTGCTGGCCTTGAACTTGTAAACTGCCGTCCCCCACCATCCTCTAGAGTAGCTGATATTACAGGGCTGTCAAACGCTGTGTCAAAAGCCACAGTTTCTAAGCTGTTTTGTAACTTCCAAGTGTTTGGCTGCTAAACAGACTGGCAGGTTTTATATTTACGTGCATTTTATTTAATTCATGGAAAACACATCATCCCATTTTGGTTATCTTTTAAAAAGTAAGTCAATAAGGATAAATAAATACGGATACATGTAAAAGAGGGACACAAAGTCTGAGGTTTCACTCCAAAAGAGGGCCATGAACCTCAAGCTGGGACTAGAAGTGTCATCATTTCTTTCCCAGCGACCCCTCCCTCACAACATTGTTGTCCTGGTCACACACACACGGAGCAGCCACATTAGTTGGGTGCCACTGTTTCCCAGGCACCGGCTGATTATGTCCTTGTGAAAAGTCGACTATGGGCGTCTTCGGGCTGGACACCCAACTACTGTGGTTAGGGCGACTAGCCTAAAGGTGCCCTTTCAAGAGCTCTTATGCAATGGAACTTCAGCAAAGAGTGAAGGAGGCTGGAGGCAGAAAACCTGAAAGGTGTGCCGCATTTTGTGTGTGTGTGTGTGTGTGTTTTCTATCCTGTCTCTAACCACCCTCTCTGGTGTTTGGGTCCGAACACCTTAACCTTTTGCTGCTGGGATAAAAACTGAATCCGATCCAGGGCAGGCTCTCAGTCTTCCCTGCAAACAAACACATGGGCATCGCCCCTCCCCTGACTTCTGAGCTGCAAGTGCCCGCCCCTCCACTTACCCACTCCTTTCCCAGACTCCTCCCTCACTAGGCCTGGTCTCCTCTGTCCCAGGCCGAGACACAATGAGCTACGCCCAAATTCCCAAATATACCAAGCTGACTTTGGAAATATGTAAAGGCTAAAACCTTCCTTTTTAAGAAAAGAAAAGGAGAGAACAGGAAGCTGGGTGAGGGAGACACTGCGAAGCCACCATCAGGATAAGGAAGATGTAAAGTACCGGTAAGCCACAAGCCATGTGGCAAGGTATAGATTAATGGAAATGGATTAATTTAAGCTGTAAGAACAGCTAGCAAGAAGCCTGCCACGGCCATACAGTTTGTAACCAATATAAGTCTCTGTGTTTACTTGGTTGGGTCTGAATGGCTGTGGGACTGGCGGGTGTCAGAGATTTGTCCTGACTGTGGGCCAGGCAGGAAAACTCTAGCTACACATGGGCATCGCCCCTCCCCTGACTTCTGAGCTGCAAGTGCCCGCCCCTCCACTTTACCCACTCCTTTCCCGGACTTCTCCCTCACCAGACCTGGTCTCCTCTGTCCCAGGCCGAGAGACACAATGAGCAGCCACAGCATCAGTCTGTTTCTGAGAGAGAGCAGCCAGTACCTGGGTGGTGTGGGCTGTCTGCAGGGCCTGCAGGACAGTCTGCAGCAGAGAGCACTGCGCATGCGTCTGTATCCCATGACCAGAGAGCAACTGTGGCGCTTTCTGAGCAGAAATGCCTTCATCTTGCTCACAGTCAGTGCTGTGATCACTGGTGAGCTCTGCTTTTGGGAGGCGGGACTTCTATTAACTACCCACCCCCTCCGGTGCACTCATCTCACAATCCCCTAGCCCATCAGAGGACTCAGGTAGAGAGGGCACATACACACGCAAACACAGCTGTATGAACACGATGTGTTGTCACATGTGTGGGTATGGGCATACACAAGTACACTGAACAGACATGCACTTTATGACTACAGACAGAGAAGGATAAATATATCTTACATATGAATATATCTTACATATCTTAATTTAGAGGTGCGGTCACATAAACTGTGCTAACGTTCATAAAAATATGCAGCTATCCATCATACCCTTGGGAGATTGATTCTGGCAAACACTACCCCATTTTATTTAAGGAACTTGATTGTCTATTGATTTGGGTATCCGGGAATTTGATTAACCACAAGCATTTGTTATCTGTGGATGCTCAAGTCCCTTAAATAAATTGGGGTATTGTGTGTATAGGATCTGTGGCTATCTTGCTCTCTAGGTTACCTGTAACACCCAAAGCAATGTAACTGCTAGGTAAATAGTTGTTATACTGTATTGTCTAAAGAATATTGATTAAAAAAAATCTCTACATGTTCAACAGACACAACTTAAATAATTATGTGTAGGTTGTATAAAATAATGGGTCCTTATGACATCTTCATATCTATATAGAATATGTTTTGATCATATTCTTTTTCTGTCACCCCCTCTTACCTAGTCACTCTCTCTTGGTACCTTTCCTCTTCCCAAATAGCTTTCATCAGATAAATTTTTCCCCTAAAAATTTCTGTGTATGCTTGATTAATTAGACATTGTGGATTCCAAGGATACCACAGCCAGCTGTGTTAGACTTTGTGAATACTTTCACACACTCATCTATGCATTTACATCTACATGCTTAGAAGCCCAATTGCATATGCACTTCCATATTTGAAAGTGATAACATAGAACTGGAGAGATGACTCAGTGGTTAAGAGCAGTGGCTGTTCTTCCAGAGGTACTGAGTTCAATTCCCACATAATGGCTCATAACCATCTGTAATGAGGTCTGGTACCTTCTTCTGGCCCACAGGAGAACACTGTGTGCATAATCTTAAAAAAATAAAAAGAAAATGGTAACACAGACAAAAGAGTCACACTTATAGACACACCCAAGAAATGCATGTGCATATCTTTGTATATGAGCCTATGTGCATATGAATGTGCACATACACCTATGCACACACAAATGCATACAATGCACATATATATCCATGTGCACACAACTATATGCACACATTCATTCACACAAATGCTCATCATGCATACACACACACATATATACCTATGTTCACACAAATGTACACATACTCACACACACATACACATTCATATCGATGAACACACCCATGCACACACAGATCCATGCATATGCAAATGCACATGTATACCTAGCACACACATAGCCATGTAAGTACCATACACATACCCATATATACACATAGCCATGTATACATCTTTTTGCACATGCCCATGCACACCCAAATACACACTTCTGTATATACACAAGCACACACATACCCATGCACAAATGTACCCATGCACACACAAATCCACGTAATACCCATGTACACAAATGCACTTCCTAGAATAGTCACTGCTCACCCTACTATACTCTTTCAGAGATGGATGGAGGGTGCTTGGGGCTGAGATTCATAGTTCACTCCATGAACCCTTCCTTTCTGGCTCTAGGGCTCAGCCTGGCATTCACCTTGCACCCATACCAGCTCTCCTACCACCAGATCAAGTACTTCTCTTTTCCTGGTGAGCTGCTCATGAGGATACTGCAGATGCTGGTGCTCCCCCTCATCGTCTCCAGCCTTGTCACAGGTGAGACCCCAAGCCACTGTGCATCTCCAGGACCCATTCTGAGTTCACACTTGAGAAAAGAGCCAGGGCTTCTCCACTGATGGGGGCCCTTTCCCAACACATCAACTCAAGCTGTGCCCAGGTCTTGCTTCAGTCTTGCTGTCACAGGATCCATGTGGCCCAATAATTTCCTTGTACTTGTTCTTGAAGGTAAAATCCCATTCTGCTAGAGCTCTGGGGTATCCAGAGGGGAAAGAAAGGCTGTGGAGGGTCAGGGGAGACAGCTGGGTTATGGGGTAGATGACAGATGGAATGTGGGTGAACATGTAGGAGGTGAGTGGGATGGAGGTGCCAGGATGGAGGCTGGAGGAAGGGAAGAAGCTGTGACAGGTTACATAGCACATTTTCTTCTAGATAGTAGATGATTTCGCTTCAGGGCCATCGGATCTTCGTTGCAATGGTTCAGCTCTGATGCTGGAGTAGAAGAGCATCTATAGGCAATATGTCAGCAAGTGGGCATGGCTGTTGCCCTGGTTTCATTTATGTTGTTACAATAAATACTTGACAAAAAGCAACTTAGGGGAGAAAGGGTTTATTTTAGCTGACAGTTTCAGGTTAGAGTACACCATTCAGGGAAGTCAACATAGGAACTTGAAGCGGTTCATCATAACCCACCCACAACCAAGAGCAGAAAGAAAATAAATGGACACATGCTTGTTTGTATCAAGTTCCAACTCTACACGTATACAGTTCAGAATCCCTTGCCTAGGGAATGGTGCTACACACAATGATTGGCCTTCCTCCTTCAATCAATGTAATCTTGACCCCCTGCCCCCAGTCATGCCACAGGTCCACCTGATCTATAAAATTCCCCATTGAGTCTCTCTCCCTAGTGGTACTAGATTGTGTTGAGTTAACAATTGAAACTACTCATCAGAGTTGTGTTTCAGTACAACCTTACAAAAGCAAATAGTGCACCAGATTTAGGCCATAGGTGATATTAGCAACCCTTGGGTTTAGGGACAGAAATAATGATCAAGACTGGTTTCTTAGGTTGGGCTTCTTAGAAGCCAAGCCTGACATGTAGATCTGGTCACAAGAGACTCACTGAGGGAGAAACCCACGAGGAAGTGAGGGAAGAAGGACAGGATGGGGAAGGAAGCTAAGCAAAGGCATGTGTTCAGAAGAAGGCTGGTGTCTCAGTGCACTCCCACTGGGCAGGGACTCTAAAGTGTGAGCAACATCATGGGGTGTCCCTCACCACCACCTCTGTCTTCATCTGAATCCCTGCACCAGCAATCATTGACTGCTGCTGGACTCTGGGGC